ACACTTTTGATTCGAGGAACTGCAGCTCTCTCTCCCTCCATTCCCTTATCTCCGGGCTCTGTCCAGTGTCCTCCGGCCATGCTCCCCCGACACCTCCCAGCATCACTCAACCCATCTATTTGACCCAGCGAAGGGCAGGCAGCCCAGACTGACGGTTGAGATGTGTCCCAAAGTGGCCGCCTCGCCTCCCCGTCGGCCCCTTTTCCTTTAGCTTGTGTGTTCATGTGAATGTACACCGTGATTGAGGGTGGTCTACAGCTTTCACTCAGGGCGACAGAGTGGCCCAACTGTCCCATTGCTCTCCTCTGTCAGCCAGCATGCAATGAGGGCAGATAACAACGAGGGATTGGAGGAAACTTCTAAACGGAGACTATAGAGATTAAGTATAAACTGTTTAGAATTACGTCAAGTCAACGAGGGTCTTCAAAACTGAATTACAGAGTGAAGAAAGTGTAGAGCACGTTAGTCATGTATAGATGTAAATGAATGTAGTATATGTGAGTGCATGTTAGAGATAATCTGTAAGGTGGAAAGAATACGGAGGGAAATTAAGAGACAGAGTGTGTGTGTTCTGGGCCACGCATGCATGATAAAGTGAGTGAAGTGGGGCACAGGAGCTCCTGAGATACAGTAGTGGGAGTGATTGATTGGAGCAATGAATGGGGGGGACCTCGCATAGTAATTAGAAGTGCAATGCTTCCCAGCAGGCTTTACCATTTTAGTGTGATTACACTGTGTGATCTATATGCTCAGAAGACCTCCATCACTCTTGCTAAGCAAACTTGCCACATGCCGCAAAGCTTTACCTTTTCTTAATTCAGATGGTTTTTTTATAGATTTGCTGATCATGAGGCGGATTTAAACTCAGAAACAAACCACGTTATCAGCTGAAGCTGCGGAGTGTTTTTTGCGGCTTCTTGGTTTGGTTTTGTTTAGGAGATCAGATACAGTGACTGTCAAACAAAGCTCTGACATTCCTTGCATCCCAGTTATTTATGTCCTTTTGTTTCCCTTTGTTTCATATGTATGCATTTTGATGATTTTGAATGATTCTCCCCTATTCCCTTGCATCATATTCTCCTTCTTTTGGGGTGACGTGTTTATACAGTGAGCTGTGGGGTGTCACAGACATGGAGCTCTTATTTCTTCTGTTTAAATCTTTTCTCTCTGCAAATAAAATAAACCCGATGCAGATAAAAAAAAAAGGCAGATTTTGAAAACAGAATCAAGAGGGAACCGGGTGCAAAATCCACTCACACAGATGTGCCCCTTACAATGCACATCTCCGCTTTCATTATTTCATTCCTGTGCCGTGCATCTATCCAGTTCTTTTATCTGCTCTGCATACGACTACACTTTTTTAAATTGAAACACCTTTTTAGTTAAATTCCTTCTTTGGAAGGTATTTTTAAAAAGCTGTACCATTTAACTGTAAATGAAAACTATCATAATTATATAATTATTAGCTAATACTTAGCTATGTCCACCAGGCTAATATTCCAACATGCTAACATTTGTGTTGGAGCAAGCATTCATTTCTGTGTGTTTTACAATTACAATTATCATGCACAACAAGCAAACTGTGGGTTCTTTCATGTGATATTTGGAAGGGCCATGATAAATGAGCAATTTCATATTAATAGTCACCTTGGCTGCAGCGTTAGCCATATTTTGCAACTACCCAAATAACTCTACACTGTAACTACACGTGCAACGTCGCAAAGTCGTGTCTGTGAAGGTATTTTCTTGTCTTTTTGAGAGCATCAAACCGACAGACAACGCACCAAATGTACAGACATTAGCTCTAGTACCAGTTAGATGTTTGTGTGTGCCAAAATGAATACCAACAACAGGAGAAAGAGAATAATTAATTTAGGTTTTCTGAGGCCTTATGCCGTGTATATACTGTATATATGTCAGGCAAGCACATAAATGGCATCATTGTTCGTTCTGTGTCGACAGTTATATCTTTAAAAAATGTAGGGAGAGAGTCACAAGTAATCAGAGTTATGAGTGGCCAGTAATTCTTATCATTAGAATCATTTATACTTTGCCACTTCGAGTGACAGCCACACCCGGTTGGTGGCTTGATTAAGTGACTAGAGAAGAACTGCTAAAACTTTTACTTTTTTTGCACAAATATGTCGCTTAAAAGTTTGAGGTGATCTGTATTTGCTGACTTGGTGAATCAGAGAACATTAACTGACTTTGAAGCATAATTGGTTGCTACTCCTGTGAACTGAAAACACCAGACTCCTTTGCGGAGTGTCCCAATGACTCCTTCTTGGTGGCTAAACATCTGGAATTCCTGAGCTAAAAACTCTTATGTCATAGAAGCTCAAAGACAGAGAAATACTTCAACGTATCTATTCAAAAAATAAACATTCTGAAGTCCCAACGGAACAGTAAATATAAGTCTAACAAGCGGATTTCCTTAGAGTACTTCTCTTTTTGTCTCATTGACTGTCCCACTGTCTTTGCTTCTATTTCTCTCTTATGCACGATACCTCAGGAGACAACGTAAAAGTGCAGACATAAGCCCTTCCTCCCCAGCCTTCATGTGTGTGTGTGTGTGTGTGTGTGTGTGTGTGTGTGTGTGTGTGTGTGTGAAGACAGTCAGATACACTCTCCTTTTCCTCTTTTAATCAGTATTATGGTGACTCCTGATGTACCACCGCCCTTTGATCAATGAGGGCTCAGAAGGAAAAATGTGAAAGCACATGAATTGTGTGCCTCCAGGAAGGCAAGTAGGTAAATGTAGACTTTGAGAAATAGAATTATTACTCCTCTAATTACATTTACCTAACAGACACACTAAATGTTTTAACATGGCATGAGATACTAGCATAACCTAAATGTTCACATCTTTGGGCACATTATTAAATGCATTTACACACACACACACACACACACGCACACACACACAAATGAGACTGCAACAGCTAGATCAGATGATACTGTTCTGCTTTTCCAAGTAGGCACATGGATGCAAACAAATGCAAATACACACATGCAAATAAAGAGACAAACACATAGACGTACTGCACAACATGCACACAAGACAACACAACACGCATAAAAAGGGAAAGTCAGGGACAGGGTGTTGCAAGGGAGGTGAGAGGGTTTAAGCCGAGCAAGGCAAGGAGAATTTGCAATGTATCACATTAGAGGCAGCAGTGAGACGCTTGGGCTGAGGGGAGTAAAGCAAGATTTATATTCAGAGGACAAATCTTGGCAGGCATGGAGTACCTATGTTAAGGGCGCTTGGGGAGAGGCGGGGGATGGTATTGATGAGGAAGTCCGGGAAAGATGCGGGTGGGTGCGGGATTGTTGTCCTATGGGGATGCTCTGTCTACAGCAGCAATATGGGGCTCAGACACCGGATTAGTGTTTCTGCTTCATAATCAATTTGCTGTCTGGATAGCGTTGCATGTAACCCTAAACAACCACTCCTAGCTGGATCCTGCCAATGTTTTGTCCTTCTGCTCCCCTTCCTTTTCAACCTTTGTTTGCTGCCCCTTTCAAATCTTAAGATGTACAATCTCTATTGCTCAGCCACTGTAATAAACTCACACATGAAACTGTCCAGAATTTCGTAATATATTTGTTCTCTAAACTATTTATTTCTCGACAAAATGTGTCGTCTTCCACTAGCCACAGTAGATTCTGCACCCACTGCATTTTAGGGCAATACGGGGCACTTTGGGAGTAGATACCAGTGTGTGTGTGTGTGTGTGTGTGTGCGCGTGCGTGTGTGTGTGAGAGTGTGGAGAGATGTATAGGGTAACCTTGACCAACGGCTTTATGTCACCCTTGGGTCCAAGCTCGCTGCCATCTGCTCCAGAGCGGGGTCATAATACTGGCTGACCGATCAATAACATTTTACATGTTGGCACTGTGCACCAGTGCCAACATGTAAACTGTTATAAATAAACTGTTATAAATATGCATGTTATCCATGAAAACTTTATTTTGTGGCAACACAGGATTATAGATGTTTTTTTTTTTTGTTTTGTTTTTTTCAGCCTTCATCTTATCTTGTCCTATCAAATTAATTTTCACAGAACATGCGGTTCTTTTCTCCGAGGACAGATGTGAAGATGTTTGCTGAAGGTGCGTGTGTGTCTGTAGCAGGGAGGAGTACTTTGAGATGAAAGCCCAGAGAGACAGCCGGGAGGTGAGGCAGAGACGGCAGGTGGTCCTAGGAGTGCTCCTGTAACCGGGTGAAGGAGGCAGAGAGGTCTCAACAGATCAATAAGTGTGAGACTGGGAAAGGACTATCCATTTCAGATTGTCTGACACAGACGGAGACAAAGGTTAAGGACGGAGTCTAGGCAAAATAAAAGACCCAAACAAACTGCGGATGAAAAATGAATACGGCTGCGTCCGTCCAGTCCAGTTCCTCAACTTCACTTCTACGCACCTGCAGGCACACGTAATCAGCTTCGGCATAGTACGAATGTAAATACTACGCTGTATCAGAGGGCGTGACTTGAGCCGACCACCGACACAACAGCTTGTCTTATTACAGTGCACACATACTGTATACAGTATGTGTGCACTGTAAACACACACATACACACAGCTCCCACCTCTCAGCCACTGTCCATAGCACTCTTATTGGAGCGGGCAGACTGTCACCTCTTGTGATTCCAACAGGCACAGGCACACGCACGCACACACACACACAGGCACACGCACACGCACACGCACACACACACACACACACACACACACACACACACACACAGAGATGAAGATGAGAGCCACTAATTGCCTTGCTGGGGCACCGACGTGACTCGCATGTGACCGGATAGCTTTGGAGGCATCGGAGGCTTGATGTGCATGGGTGACTCTGCGTCTGTATGCGAGAGCTTTGTGAGTTGCTTTAATGAATCACTTATAAGACGGGAAAAGACACGGAGGGTGTGTGTTTTATATGTGCGTGTCAAACTATCGTGCTGTGAAAGATTGAAAATGAATCAAACTGGCAGTCTTACCTTGGCCTGGCTTCAATGTCGCGCTGAAAACAAGGAGAGAGAGAGAGAGAGAGAGAGAGAGAGAGAGAGAGAGAGAGAGAG